TTTCAGAGGCCCCTTCTGCAGTAGTATACCTGAGGTACCAATTGCTGGCAAAACAATGCACCATTGACAATACTGCATTGACCGAGACTCTGTGATTCCCATCTGTAAGATGATCCATTAACTGGAGATCCAGGGAGAGGTCAGCATGACTTTCTCACCCTTCAATAACCCCATATATTCTGTGCATTAGTCTGAAGGAGAATGGAGTCTGACAGCAAACTATCATGGCCTGTACAAAGTCACACCACCACTGAGCGCTGCTGTGATAGATGTGCTGGAACTTCAGTATGAACTGGGGTCCAAGGCCAAAAAGTGGTGCCACCACTGACATTGCTAATGCATTTTTCTCTATTCAGCTGCAGAGTGCAGGCCACAGTTTGCTTTCACTTGGAGGGGCATTCCCTACTCCTGGAACCAATGGCCCCAGGGTGGAAAGCACAGCTCTGCCATTGGCCATAGGGGTGAGGTTCCAGAACATCTCCAGAACATTGATGACATGATCCTATGGGGTAAAATGGCACACAAAGTTTTTGAGAAAGGGGAAAAAATAATCCAGGTTGTCCTCAAAGTGGGTTTTGCCATCAAACAAAGTAAGGTCAAGGGACCTGCACAGGAAATCCATTTGCTAGGAATGAAGTGACAAGATGGACATCAACAAATTCCAGAAGAGGTGATTAACAATATAGCTACCATCTCCCCACTGACCAACAAGAAGGAAACACAGACATTCCCAGGCACCATGGGTTTTGAGGGATGCACATCCCAGAGTACAGCCAGATTGCAAGCCCTCTCTACATTGTGACACAGAAGAAAAATTATTTCATGTGGGGCCCTGGACAACAACAATACTTTGAACAGATCAAACAAGAGATTGCCCATGCAGTTGCCCTTGGGTCAGTTAGGATAGGACAGAATGAGAAGAGCGTGGTCAAATGAATGAATGAATGAATGAGAAGAATATGTACCAAAATTAAAGTGTCTCAGGCAGATATAGACTGGCAGCACAAGGGTGAGTTATTTCTAGTTTGGTGGGCCCATAATGCCTCAAGTCATGAGGAAAGAAGAGATGTAATACATCAATGGGCTTGTGACCAAGGGGTGGATTTGACCATGGATACTATATCCCACATAATCCATGATTGTGAGATGTGGGCTGCAATCAAGCAGGCCAAGCAGATAAAGCCCCTGTGGTATGGGGAGCATTGGTCTGAAAGTATGTATGAGGAGGCCTGGCAGATTCATTACGTCACACTGCACAAACCCACCAAGGCAAATGCTATGTGTTCACAATGGTAGAAACTACCACTGGATGGCTGGAGACATACCCCATGCTTCATGTCACTGCCCAGAACACTATACTGGGCAATGGGACTCATTTCAAAAATAGCCTTGTAAACACCTGGGCTAGAGATCATAGTGCTGAGACCCTTGTGTTGGTATATCATATTCTATCATGTACCAACTGCTGGAAAAGCAAAGCAGAACAACGGACTGTAAAAATCCACACTGAAGGCAATGGTCGATCGAATCTCCAAACTGTGGCATCTGCATTTAATAAAGTCTACCTGGTTAGTTAATACCAGAGATTCAATTAACTGAACTTACGCAATTGTTACCTCTGTGCACAGCAGATAGAAATAAAGTCACCATGATGCATATGAGAGCTATGTTAGGAAAGACAGTTTAGATTAATCCTGCTTCAAGCAAAGGCTAACCCAGTCATGGGATTGTTTTTGCTCAAGGACCTGGTTACACTTGGTGAGTAATGCAGAGGGACAGTGAAACATGTCATGTACCTCAGTGGAACTTGACTTTGAATGAGAACAGTCTGTAATGTTGAATGGTATATGCAACACTTGTTGCTGAAAGGCAATGCCACTCCATGTTGGAAATAACATGGACAATGAGAATGAACTGCTCTCATTATATCAGTCATGGACTAAATGAAGTCAATCCACATCTTGGGGGAACAATCAGTGACTACTGAAATAATACCTGTATTTGTATATAGTTGTTTGTATGTATATATGTATATAGTTAAAAAGTATTAATTGGGAGATGATAGAGATGGTATGGAATAAGGAGTGGATAAAATACTGGGATCCAAAAAATGTGAATTGTATTCCCTTATTCCTCTGTATCAGTTCATGCAGTTTGTTTTACTGAATTTTGTTCAAAGTCCCAGCACTTTATTATAGGAAAATACTACATTAAAAGAAATATCATCATTGGCAGATTCTTGCTAAAGGTATTAAACTCAGAATATGCATGTGCCTATCCTGAGTTCACAGGAACAAAATTTTACAATAAAATTTTACATGGTCCTGCAAGCATGCACATACTATTAATTATGAAAAAAAAAAAAAAAAGCATATTAACAAGGCCAGTAAAAAAATTGTGGTTTCTCACTACAATCTTGAAACAAGTAACAGTGATTGACAAGTAGGGTTCAGAATTATTTGAGGGACAAAACACCAAGCAGCTTTACTGAGAAAGTCAGTATTGAATTCAAAGTTCTTCCTGAAGTTGTATTCCTATACACAGCTAAACAACTAAACATTTTCCAGATATCTTTTTGTTCGGCCTTTATTCAACTTCCTTATTTTATTTATTATTTTTATTTTATATTTGGCAGTAAAGGTTTCAATAAACTCCATGGAACTTACTAACAATTAAATACAGTGTCAAAAAGACATCTGTAATATCATATTGGAAAACATACGTTCACTTTGCATTTATTTTCTTAGCTCACTGTGATCTGTTTTTGATATAGTTTTTTCATCTGATCACTTGCACAAATGGGATTCACAAAATGCAGCAACTCAATTAATTTTCAAATATTTAATAAGCACCAGAGAAATATACATATACCTCTGTGAAGGAAAAAAAATGTTGTTTAAGCACTAGTAAACATTCATGTCTTTTCTTCTTACTGTAACCCAAAAGTCCTCTTCCATTCTCATCTGCTTTCCTTACAAAACCCATGGCCATTTATTTTTCAGCTATGAAATGTGTCTCCAATTTTCTATGTATCTTTTCTGAAAATACATTCCCTAATTAGATGAAAGAATACCAAAAAGTTATAAAATCCACACAGACATCAACGATTGCAGATCATCAGATCTTTTTTTCCTAGTAACATGAAAAAAGAAGTCAGAGCTCAGCTCAGAAAGATACTCAAGAATTTATAGCCCAAAAAACATCACACAGGCCTTTTGCAGAGGGAGATTTGTCAGTCTATAAAAGTGAAGTGTAATTTGGGTACATTTTATTAGCTGCCCAAAGCATCTTTCAATACTAAGGGTCCTACTTTTGAGTCCTAGAATAAGGAAACTCTGGACTTTTTAGGTTTTATTTTTCAACACCTCAGATTTTGCTGAAGTCAGTTGATGTTTACAGTGCTTCCCAAATGTTTGCTTATGGGAATTTGTAGTGGCAGTCAAAAGCAAAAGCACACGGTAATCACAATGTTTTAGAATTAGAGCAGGTCCGGACAACGCCCTTTATTCTGCAGCACTGCTGCTTGATCGGCAGATAAAATCATACTTGAGAGAGAACAAATAAGCAATCCAAGCCACTGAATACTTTTGCTCAGGGAGTTACAGTACTTTTTAAAGGGATGGGTTACTCTTTGATACTTGGATTCTAAGTACATTGCATCAACAGAACACACATACTGGCACTACAGAACCAATGAGAAATATCTGAAACTGGCTTCAATTCAATCAAAAACTTTAAAATGTTTAAAGCTCAAAAGCAGACCATTTACCTAAAGCCAGTATCTATGCAACAAAACATATGCAATTAGTTGCTCCACTAAAAACAGTGGCTTTTCCTTGTAGACAGTGGCTCTAAGGCTGATGTTTCTAATCACTTAGTTCCTTAGTTTTTTCCTGACCAACATTAAGCAAAGCAGTAATTTGGTGCCAATATTTGAGAAGGCATTTTCATCTGTACCTAAAATAGATTTTTGACATCTCAGTGGAGATATTTTCTATCTGAAATAGAAAAAAATGTGTATCTTCTTGCTGCCCACCATGACACTATTACATATATATGCAGATAGAATTTTCAGGACACTCCTCCACAACACTCCTATTGACTGAAATCAGCACTGTAAGTTCCTGGTGTTTGGCTATAGGATCACATCACTGTTGACAAGTTGAAATAAATAGGAAACTTAGGCTAAACAGATTAGCAAGCAGAGCCTTCACTAACCATTTTGGTAGAAGTCAACCCCAGACACAGGCTTATTTCCCCATATTTATATTAAAATTAGATTAAACAACTATTCAGCACTATGTTACATTTAAGAATATGTAGAAGGCACTGTGTGTCACACGATTCACAAGTTGCTTCCTCTTCCATGAAAAAGACCATGGGGTGAGATCCTTCCTGTCTAGCACTCTAAGCCATTTTTAAATTATCACCCCTTGAAATTCACAAAACTCTATGAAAACAGAAAATCATCATCACTTTGAACAGTCTGCTATTAGAAAGTTAATCATGGACTTATTTTGGCACATAAATCAGATATTTAATGAGGTGCTTTTTAAATTACAGCTTCTTAAATCTCCTAAGCATATGTAGTAGATCCATGCTCCTGGACCGGATTATGTTTTGTATTAAGTCCCATTTTTAATTTCCAGGCAGGAAGTGTTAAAGTACATAAAGGTTATATTTATGCTTTAGGACAAAGAAACAGCAGGCTAGCACTACACTCAATTACATGTATACAAAGAGTGTCTCTGTGATACTTAGTAATTATATGGGAGTCAATTTGTAAACTATAACCCATTGTCACAAAGTCTAGTCTCATTATCAGAAGTGAAAATGGAAAGCAGGAAAAAAAAAGACAATCACCTTTTAAAGTTCTTTATCTTGTAGCATAGAAAGACTAACATGTAATATACAATAATGCATATTGCTATTCAACCAAGGCAATACCAGTATATGATGATGCTGCAATATTCCTAGGCATCCACCATGCTCATTTTTACCTCCAATCATCCTTTGAGAGATTAGATAAAATATTCATCTCTTCATCATCTTGCAAAAGACGATATGCCGCACTAACATGGTGATTTTCAAGCACAGACCGGTCATTGTACAGAATGGCTGAGTCTGACCTAGCATTTAAAAGAAAACATAGGAAAGGTTGTTTCTTCCCTGTCTAAAGAGACTCAGAAGTTTTCCTTTGATCAGCTACAGCAATTAAGTCTATAGAATAGATATAAGCATTTTAAGATTATTTTGTAATTCTTTGTTAATTGCTGTTACTCAGTAAAAGAAACCTAAAGAACACTGCAAAATCCATTTCACCAGATGAGATTCACCTAACTACCTTGCTACATAGTTGAAAACAAGTGCTGAAAGCTGTGAGAGATATGTAAACTTGGAGTAGAACCATGAGGCTTTTTCCTAGTTCTTATGTATGTCTGTCTGATAATAAAATTGGACTGTATTCAAGTAGGCAATTGCAAGATGTGACCCAATACTGTTTACAGAACAGCAAACTGGCTGTAAGCAAGATATAGCTCAACTGATTTCTGACATCTGTGTGCTAGACTATGTTGTCTGGAAAGGCAATTGCCAGTGGGACAGAGTTAAGACCAAAGGTACTTTATGCCTGTTTTTAAGCCCCAGAGCAGAGATCTGTGACTGATGAAAGGGTAAACTGGTCTTAAGACAAAGAAGTTAACAGCAACAGAGGGTGAATATGTTTTGTTACAGTCCTTAATCAGATTTGCTTCATAGAGAGTATATTTTTATCCTCTGACGCTTCACATTGTCTGATATTCTTGAACATTTTTATAAGTATTTGGAAAGTATAGCAGATCCCTAATTCCTGTATGCATGAAGTTGTGAGAAGAGTAGTGTGGCTTCACCCAGAATGGAGACACAATCTTCTTTCTATGTTCCCAGTCACTACTGTGCATACGTGTGCATTATTCTGAAAATCATTATTGATGCACAGCATGATTCAGCTAACACACTACAGACACATATTTTAATTACAGACACATAATCACAATGCATCTTATAAATGCCCAAGTGTGCAATGTCAGCCGAGGACACAGACATTTTGGCATTGCTACCAGCACTCTCCTATTGTCAAAATTAGATGCCAAATTATCACTGAAACTAGAGACTTCATAATCTTTGCATACTTCTGAATTTTGCTGCCATCTCCATCTTATTTTCCTCTCTTCCACCAACCCAAAAGCTTTTTAAACCTATTATAGCTCTATCTAGCAATTTATGATGCTTTAAAAGAGTATTTCTCTGACTAGGTAGTGGTAAGCATATCCCCTTGTTGCAGGTGTGGTTTCCAACACAAGTAAAAATAATATGTGTAGTGTTCATGTTCACTGATGAATGCAACAAACATGGTTGAATGCCTGATTTATGCTGATTATATTTGATTCTTCAAATTCAAAAAGGAAAAAAACTGTAAAATGACAGTATCTCCTTCAAAACTTCATCAAAATACATCACTCTATACAGCCATTTCTCTTTGAAAACTTTACATGGAAATATTTTTGAATCTTTCTTTTTCCTGGTTATTAATATGAAGCAATGCTCAGGAATTTAGAATACATGCATTCCATTGTAAACATCTGAACAAGAAAAAATTAAATGTAACCCGAGAAAGTGAACTTTCCTCCTTGACACTTGAAACACTTGAAAGCAGAAGTTCCTGCACTTTTCTAAGGCTGCTGTACTGTTATTCTCCCAAGGTTTCTCCCTCTATTTCCTGACCCTTTGTCATGATTTACAGTGGCCTCACCGTGTCTGGATGTGAAAATTGTTGGTGGTTCCAGTGTGTTCATAGTCATGTATGGCAGCTGCGAAAATCATAGCGAAGATCTCCAGCTCTGTCAGCCAGTGCTGAAAAGAGATTACAGTACAATCAGATAAGCTGTCATTTTGTCAGGCTTTTGTCTTCTAAGGTAAGTATTTATTCTCTGTTGATAGTCAATGTTGCCTGTCATTACCTTTCCTTTGCAGTCTGACAGCTGTTTTAAGGCAAGCTTCTCTGGCTGATACATAAAAGCCAACCAGTACTCATTCTGGACCTTCATCTAAATAAACTGAACTTCAGCAAAATTGTTTCAGGAGCTAATAAGGTTTAAGGCAGAGCAAGGGGAAACATGTGCCCTTCTAAAAGAGCAATATTTGAAGAAAAGAAACAAGGAAAACTCAAAAAATCCAGGTTCAAGGTGGAGAGAAACTTGATAATATATATGCAGGTAAACATATACCACCAGGGTATGTATTTTCAGTTCAGTTTACCTGAGCAGCAGAGACTCAGACACAGAAGAATGCCACTATTTTTCAGAAAATGAAAAGTCTTTGTCATTCACTGAATCATAAGGAGAACAAGGAAGACAACCTCAAAAGATGCACATCTTGGTATTTATATATCATTTTTAAAAGCACTTGAGAAAGCTTTGACATTTCTGTGATTTTCCTAATTCCCAGTCAAAGCCTTATTTTACAATGCTTAAGTCACTTTTGCCTTAGATTTATAAATTATTTGGATGGTTTGAATAATTTTTATCTGAGTCAATAAATCATTTTATTGTCTGGTTTTTCCTCTGGTAGCCCACAAGGAGTCTTGTTAACATCAAGCACTTTGGAGTCAAAGGTTTTAGATACTGTGGATGCAGTAAATATTTGTATGAAATGCTTAAATGTATTGCATTTAGAAAAAACCTTTACCACAGTGATTGCCAAATACTTCTTTAACACCTTACTGTCAACCTGCAAATGTATTTCACATACACTCTTTTTTAATTCAAAGTCCAGCAAAGGCACTAAGACTTCCAAAATCTATTCTAGACATCTCCTATAGCTCAGGGGCCACCACTAGGGTGTTAAGCATGTGCAGGGAAGCACAGGTAACAGTTGGGCTCTGCAAACAGCAACCTGTCTACCTCTTTATCTGTGTTTCACAGTCATCTCTGCATAACCAGTGAAGAATGGAGCAAGCCTCAGTTTTAAAGATCCCCTTACATTACAAATGTAGTTTGAAAATATAGCCCAGAGATATTTTGAACAATTCTACTGACCATAATCAAGGTAGTTCTTGGGTTTGGGCTGTTTCCATTTTTTTTCCTTTTTTTTTTCCTTTTTTTTTCTGTTTTGTTTTGTTTTGTTTTGTTTTGTTTTGTTTTGTTTTGCTTTGCTTTGCTTTGTTTGTTTGGGTTTTTTATGGCAAGAGAGAAAGAACAGTGAGAAGTGCAAGAAATGATCAGAAACAGAAACTTCACTATTTTCTCATATCTACACAATTGATCCAGGACATGATTGGAGAGCACTGATGGCAGAGAAATCTGTTCAAATTTTTTTCCAGCTGTGACTTGTGAGAAAGGAATGATTTCCAAATTATTAAGAACATTAATTCAAGTTTCAAGCAATAACTTCTGGCAACTGCAATGGGGGAAAAATGGAACTAGGGTTTCTAGGCTACATGTCTAGATCTGGACTTCCATTCTTAACAGAGGTCTGCCATTTTCTAAAAGGAGAGACTGCAAATGATAGAAAAAATCAGGGCACAAGTGGTCAGAAACAGCCAGGGCAAGCCTATATTATGCATGCAGAACTCATTCAGGACACATTCAGCTAGTCCAACACATCAACTTCAGACCCTCTTGACAGCATCTGACAATTCCCATGCTAGCAAGATCTCATGTCCAAAGTCTTAAAGCGTAACTAAGGCAATGAGCCTTAGTGTTTGAGATTTCCTACCCTGTCTCTTAAGGCACATAAAGGAAAAGTGCTGACTAGAACACCTTACCAAAGCATCACTTGGTGAACAATTTTGGGTGAGGTAGGTTTTCAAATAGGGTGTATTAGATCTTATTATTAGCAGTATCTTGTATTTGCAGTATTAAGTATCATAACAGCATTCTGGGAAGATTACCCAGCATAAAACTGGAATTACAGCTGTTAATTTTTGGCAATAAATAAAGCAGAGTAAGTAGAACAAAGTCAAAATAGCCTTGTGAGTAACACAGCTGAAGTAACTGGAACATTTTAGTCCCTTTTTTCCTGCCACTACCTTGCAAGTGAAAACAAACAATATGGCAAAGAGCCTGCAGAGAATGGATGCAATCTCCATCAAACTGCTTACTTTACATTTCACTGCTTTGTGGTGGATTTCACCTTGGAAACAGGGAAATCATTTTTAAAGAACAAAGCTGTCATGAACAGCAGGACAGTGTCACAAAAGATAAAAAGAGCAAGGAAAAGTGAATGAGTTTGATTTCTAAAGGGCTGATAAAACCAATCCAGAATAAAACCGTATCAAACTTTTTATGATGGTAGGAGCTCAGAAATGGCAGAGGGTAAAATGTATGAAATACCAAGTACTGGCTTCCAGAATTAAAAAAATAATGGGCAAGAAAGCATGATTGTCATTCAAAAATATACAGTAAATGTGAAGCATCCCTTTAGTACTAAAAGATGTGACAGAAGACCTGCACTTTCACAATTTTTCAGGTCTGCTGCAGGAAATAGTTTCCTGTAATTCGTGACAGTATCAGAGAAAGAAGTCTTAAACAGTACAGTTTTCTCTTCATTGTCTAGGTTGAAAAAGAAATTGTGGAATTTCCAAACAGTTATAAAGATTAATTAGAAAACAATACAAAACAAAGTAATAATCAGAGCTGAACAACAGAATTTAATAATGGAAGGAATGAAATGAACAAAAAGTGTGCCAGCTCTTGGAAGCTGTTCTTGCACGTCATGTTCGTATGCCAATCCTCTATGAGATAAACATCAGATTAATTTCAAATTCTCTTTCAACATTTTTTCTATGAGAGAGTCAAAAACTGTACTGTAGTTCATACAATAAAGTATAACTAATTAACTCCAAAGCATCATCCAGAGGGAAAAAATAACAGGAAAACTGAGGAAATTCTACAAAAGGAGAGGGAAAGAAGATTTAATTGAAAATAAAATTAAAAAAAAAGAGGGATGGATCAAAACTATTCAGAGAGTTCATAAATAAGAGGGAGCATGACAAAGGCAAATGAACCATATAAAGGTGAACCAGAAACCTATTTCTTATTTTTAAAACTAGAACAAATTTTAACTATATAGACAATTTAAATGTGAAAGAAACAAATTTTCCACATTACAAATTACTAGATAGCAAGAAAAATGAGGAGTTTTTTCTTATTTTTGTGCATATTTTTTTCACAAGTGGTCTTCATCCTATTGGTGAAGAATTAAACCAATGGCCCTAACACACTTCTCAAACCAAAATCTTGTGTTCCAGCATGTCCAAGCTGCTTACATAAATATTGTAGAAGTGATCAATTTAAGAACTATACATACACTACAGTAATGATAAGATAGATGATGTGAGCAAATCCTGAAAAGAAATTAAAAGAGGAAAAGGTCCCCTGTGTTTCTTTACTTAGTTTGGTTTGGGGGGGGCTATTTTGGGTTTGGTTTTTTATTTCTTTGTAGTCCGCTGCATTATCTCTCTCAGAGGAAAAAAAGTCCAAACTTCTCTATTGCATATTCATGTATTTTCATGTCCTTCTGGTCTGCTCTTTTTTAACATTTTCCTTGCTTTAGTGCACTCTGAGACAGAATAGGAAATCCCATTCAGCACTGCTGCATCACAGGCTAGAATGAAATAGTCATCATTCACTCACATCTGAGTTGCTTCTAAATGACTAACATAGCAAGAAGCAGCAAGATGTAAAGGTAATTCTGAATATACATAGGATGGAGATCAGCTATATTTAGGCAGCTGTTTTAATTCAATTGAATTGAATTAATTAATTTAATCCAATTTAATTTAATTTTGGAGCAGAGCACCCCCACATGAAAACTGCACTTCTTCCATGGTTTGAGGAGGAAAAGGGAATCTATTTCCTCACCACTGGAGTACCATTCACATTACTCAACTTTGCACCTGTTCCTACTGACTACAACTTGCAGTGCATTTTCATTAACTAATGGTCCTAAAAGCAACAGTGACAAATTTAGTATCTCACAGGAGTTTTTGAGTATCTAACTGTATTAGATGCAATTCTGACTTAAGTCCTTTTTACTTCAGGCACAATCAGAAGCAAGTGACACAACTTCCATCAGGATTAGCCTGTCTGAATCAGACAGCACCTGACTCCTTCCAAATCTGCTTCTGATAAACAGCAGTATTTACTGCTCTAATTGCAGTGTGACTGCAATTCACAATGCAATCTACTTTCAACACAGGAGACTTGGGATGTTTACAGGAGGCAGTGGAGTGTGTGACTCCTCAGGGAAGAGCATCCAGTTCTGGCTTCAGAATTGAAAGCAACACCTGCGTGGCAAACAAAAAACTGCAGAAATGCAGATCATATGCACAAAACATAGTTCCCAAGCATGAGCAACTCTATAGTTGTTGAAACTGGCCTAAAAGACCAGTAAGAGCTGCACTATGCCCTGTTATCTTGTACCTCTCTGTCCTATACTCCATGAACCAGTAAACACTGGTGGCAGTATTTTTTTGGGTTTCTTATTGAGCTGCACAGAAAAAGGTATCATCAGCATACAAATATCACTACAAGTGAGGCTGACAGACAATTTTTATAGTGATTTTGTATAGCTAATTAAAGGTGCTCATTGCATGAGAGTGTTGGAATTTGGTTGGGCTGAGGCACATGGTTTTTCCTTACCTTTTTTTTTTAACAGTTCCAGATACAGTTTATAACACTCTGGGAGTGTTGAAGAAGGCCTGAACTGCAGCAAGAGCCTCAGCCTCTGCTGACTGGTTTCATGTGTCTGCTCTGCACTACAAAGGCTCCATAACCCTTGAACTGCACACTGGTTAGTGAAAGGACCTCAGCAAAATAGAACAGTGCAATAGAACAGAATTACACATATTCAACTACCAGACATGGAGCAATCACTGAATGGCCAAGGTATAACAGGAGATAACTGCTAAACATTTAACAGATTAACCTCCCTTTCACAATTTCAACCTTCCTTTCACTGTCACCTTTGCATCTACACTTCTGCCAATGCAAGAGCAAGGGCAAATTAGATGCATGGAAAAAGTGAGGCAAATAATGTGTGGAAAAGATCTTCTCCACAGAATCAGACTAAAGGTAATTTCATTCCTTTTTCTGGCTGAAGTGGTAACCAGGAGAAAGAAGAAGAGAATGAATAAATATGTATCCAATACACTTTGAACTTTCCCTGCTATTTATTAATTTCCCAACAGTGTGGAGCAGCAACTTTCTGAGCCTCCAGATGAATCCAAACCGCAATGGTTGATCTTCACTCTGGAATCTATCTTCCTTCAATTTCTCTAGTCCATCCTCAAATGTATTTCTCTTGTTTGTCTTGAGAACCACTGTGGGAACATATTGTGCATTAAGTTTGTCTTTTAAGCCCATTCCTGGCATTATTGTCACACTTCAGCTGTCCTGTAGGTATCTGTGCAAGCCAGTCCAGACAATTTTGCTGTAGAGAAGTGGATGAAGATCAGTATTTCCAGATACCAGCACTTGATATGCTCAGATAAGTGGAATGAATTATCATTTGGATGTACCCTCTCCCTACCTTAAGTTAAGAAGAAAGCTTAGACAATATGATTCTTCATACTAGATGAAATGAATTCCAGCAAATGTGTGTTGGCAGATTCACACAGAAGATCTGTGGCAGAGTGAAAAACCAAGCTTGGGTTTCTCATTCATCCTCTTTAGATCACTGTTAAAAGAGTTATCAACAACTTCACTTACCCTCTGTTCCTAAATAATCCAAAGTCTTTACCTTTATTAGCCCAGCCATATCAAACTGTGACTACAGTATAAAGAGGTTCTACTGTGGATAATCAAAATCTCATTAATAAGCAGAAACTGTTGTAAACTCACTATATATACAGGATGCCAAGTCTTTTACTTACCACTGTTCCTGTCTTGAAAAGGAGGTAATGGACTGTCTGTGTGACATCTGCAGCATGCATTAGATTGTGATAAGGATTTTTGTGTTTACTGTAGCCAACCTCCAGAGCTTCCACAAAAGACACCAAGGCAGAAATGGGAATCTAAGTAAACCAGCACAGAATTAAAGAAAGAAAAAAAAAAAAGGAAAAAAAAAAAAAAAGAAAGAAAAACAAACAAACAAGCTTTAATAGCTAGCATTGAGACAGGAGTTTTTTGATGAGACGTTCTCAAAGAGCTGTCTGTACTTCACAAACAAACAAAATGCTAAAATCTGAAACAGTCACTCAAGAGAAAGAGTGAATTGTTGTCTGGAACACACATAGAGCATGAAAAGTAACAGCAACCAGTGGATTGATTGCCATGGAGAAATATTTATAAATAGATTGCAAGCAACTGCCTGCTATGTTCACAATCCACTTGAATATATATCTGCCTTACTATTCACAGTTAAGATTTTATAATGAAGCACATGATATAGCAAATCTTAGATACTCTAAGACTATAATTTATCAGACCTCTGGGTTTTCACAGTAAAATCCAGTCTGCCTGTCCTATGGGATTGCCACATTTTTCTGACTCCAAGAGTAACTGAAATTATCTGAAAAAATGCAATTCAAGGGATTTCTAGAAAGGAGACTATGCAGGTGGTAACACATGCAACTGGCAACATGAATTCTCCAGTTTCAGCTGCTCAGACAAGAAATACATTAAACACTAAAGTTTCCATATAAAAGATCACTGGTCTTCTCCTCTTAGGTACATATAAGCAGAGGATGCAGTTCTGAGCAGACATCTTGATGCCTCATAAGGCATAGGAAGTTCCTGATAAATTATGAGATCTAGACATCTCTAAACTCTTTCCAGTCAGAGTGGGAACCCCTCGGAAAAGGAAATGTCAACAGTGGAAGGGACTACAGAGTATCTGTGTGGGGACAGTGGTCAAGAACTGGATGGCAATGTTTCCTCTTCAAAGTTGGAAGAAATCTCTGTAGCAGTTATAAAATTATAGAATGGTTTGGGCTAGGAGGGACTTTTAAAAGTCATCTAGTCAGCCTGGCCCTGCAATGAACAGGTACATGGTCAACAAGACCAGGTTTCTCAGAGTCCTGTCTGATTTTGAATGATTCCAGGGATGGGACACCTACCACCTCTCAGGGCAACCTTTTCCAGTTTTCCAGTGTTTCACCACTCTCACCATAAGAAAATCTTCCTTATATCTAATCTTAATCTATGCTCTTTTAGTTTATAATCATTAACCCTTGTCCTACTGCAACAGAACCCGCTAAAAAGTTTGCTCCCATTTTTCTCATAGGTCCCCTTCAGGTACCAAAAGGCTGCAATAGGCAATCCCCAGAACCTTCTCTTCTCCAGGCTTAACAACACTAACTCTGTTGGCCTTTTCTCACAGGAAAGGTGCTCCAGCCCTCCGATCATTTCTGTGGCCCTCCTCTACAATGGTGCCAACAGGTCCGCGTCTTTCCTATGCTGAGAGTTCCAGACCTGGATATCCTGGATGCAGTATTCCAAATGGGGTCTCATGAGAGCAAAGTTAGGAGTAGAATCACCTCCATTGGCCTGATGGCCAATCTGACTGGAATGAATTTGAATTTGCTTTCATACTCTCTTGTTCTCTTTTGTGCCTGCATGCTTGAGGGTCCTATAAAGTTCAGGAAAATGACACCATCATTCTCAGAGGATCAAATGCAGTGTTTCCCATGGATTTCATTTGGAACCCCACCTAGTTCATGGTGCCTTACTGCAATTGAAAGTACTACTTAAATCACATCCGGTCTTGCTTATTAGGGAAAGTGCAGTGTTCACAAATTCTTCAAAGACCACTAAAATTACATTTGTAATCGAAAAAAGCAGAATGAGAAGGAAGTTGAACAAAATTCAAGATGAATGAAGATAGCCATCTTCTAACTACTGACCTTGAAACGGTTTATCAGATCATAGCGTGTGAGAAGTTCATAGAAAATGAATTTCAGTGCATGATCCCCACTGGCATCATTTAGTGCAAATACATCAAAGGACCAGTTGTCTACATTCTGCAAGAGTATGTAGAAAAGACGGTTAATATGGTCATCATTTTTACCATGATCTTTCAATTTCTTGACCTTCTCTCACAATTTCAGAATTCTAGTACTGATTAAATGTATCGTTTATTTTTCAATAAATTCTTCATAATCCATCTAACCAATGCAGAATCATCAATGTACTTACAGTATATCAGGATACTTATTAGTATTGTGTGACTTGTGTTTAACAAGTTTCCATTAAGAACATGTATGCTGTTTGTTTATTCTAAACATGGTAATTCTCTACAGTGGAATTTAATCACCAAAGGATGAATCCTAAAAGATAAAAATCCTGGTTGGCTTTAGTACCTGAGACATTGAGATGGTCCTGTTTGGCCTGATATGATACATTAAGTGCTAACAATTATACAAAAATCCAGTCTTTATAACAGAAGAATAAATAAATAATTCCAGTTGGGAAAGTTACAGACAGCTGTAAATGACATGCTAGTGCTGCAGGCTGGTCAGTCAAGAGATCAAGGAGGGGAAGTTCTCAGCTCTAAAGTTGAGGGTCTAACCTTCTCACAGAAGTTTGAGTTCAAATCTCAAATGATAGGGAAGGCTGTGGGAGGTGACAGCATTCTTTATCTAGCAAGAGATGAAGAGAAACACTAACTCTTTCTAAATGCTCAGTTTCCTAGCTTTCTGTCCCTTCTTAACCTTGAGGACTTGTTATATAAGTCAACAAGCAAATTCAGGGATAGAAGCTATTCTGCTCAACGTTATTGCAAGGTATGGCATTTCTGTAGCCACAGATAAGCAGAAGTCTATACTGCAGACATTGTAAGTGACTACAGGTTCTGTGTTCATTACATGTTTATTTTCTAGCCTAGAAAATATTCCTGTCATGGTGTGGGCATTAAAAAAGGCTGAAAAATTAAATTCTAAAGCACGTAACTCCTTCATCAGTAATTAATGCAAAGTTCCGTCTCTAGCACTAGGCTGATGGACAGCAGATCACTGCAGTGTACTCTGTAAGCAAGTCTGTATGAATGGTTTGTATAGTCACTATTCAAATGAAAGACAAGGCTGATTGTCCTTTTTATGGCAATCAATCTTAATTCTTCATACCATGTCATACAGAAAGGCAACAGACTACTGCAGTAGAAAAATTAGTATAAAAGAGAGACAGAGAGAGAGAGAGAGAGAGAGAGAGAGGCTCTGCACTCAATTAAAAAAAAATGCCAAACTTCTCATCCATTGAAGAAATTAGACAGATAATACATCTAGAACTTGCACTACTACAGCCTGCATTTTTTTTCAGAAGCATCAGTATTTCATTATTTTATTAAAACCAACCTCTGTCACAAAGCTGTGATTCCTCTGCTTTGGGTTATTAAGTCAGATGTCCTCTTTACCACAGCAGCAAAAATAAGAATTTGTAGTCGAAAATAAGCTTGTTTTGACTTCATTTCATCTCAATTCTTGTCCTTACTAGCATGACTCTGAGGGGAATGTTGATTATGGCAACCCAGAACTACTGAAGACATATGTGTGGTATACTTCTACAGCCTTTTGCATGCTTAAATCATCAGGTCATTTTACAGAGCACACTAAGCAGTCAGGTAGCTGTAAGGGTTTTTTAATTGACCTTACCGGACTGAACCAAGCAACAAAACATGCCATTTTCAATGGAGGAGATGGGATTGAGAAATTTAAGGTTAAATATTATTTTTAAGACAGAAGACTTCAAAGAATCATAGAATATGCTGAGTTGGAAAAGGCTCAAAAGGATCATCAAGTCCACCTCCTAGTCCTTCACAGGACATCCCCAAGAGTCACACCATGTGCTTCTTGAACTCCATCAGTTTTTGTGCTGTGAGGGGGACATTTCACATTGCTAGGGAGCCTGTTTTGACTTCTTCAAAGTAACTCACATTTCAACCAAATCCATTACCAAACCCAAAAACATCCAGACAAAGACATGTTCTCAAAAAAGTTTTGGAAAAAAAAAATAATTCCAGAGTGTAGGTAGAGTATTGTAGAGTGACCAGGTAGGTGCTATTTCACTCTGAGCAAAATTAGTCAATGACTTTGGTCATTGTTTAATAATTAGTTTAACTTATTCTAACATGATCAATTCTTTTTACAACCTAATCATTTGAAGACATAGAAAAAAGGGAGAAATTCAATAAAGCTTAAGTCAGCTGAGAATAGGTGATGAGTCTTCCACTGTCTTGTTACTGCTGAGGAACTCAGGAGAAGAGGTACCATTATAGATATCTTCCCTCATAAGCTGGCTATGGAGTGTAGTTGCAAAAGAACAAAGAATTTACATCCCATTTGCAGGAGTGAAGCTAGCACTTGTCAACACGCAGTTGGAAAACGGTGTGGGTGGACACTTTGATTCTGTATATGAAAAGCATGTTTGATCATTCTTCTTGCAATTCCTCCAGATCTTTTGATCAGTTCTACTATTCAAAATGAAAAGGATACCCTAACTGTAAATCTTTCCAGTGTGGAGAAATGCTGCAAGATATCTTAATGAGTTTTACACTTAATATCCCTGTGTACCACCCCACTCTATCACATTTTTTCACCACTGCATGGCGTGGTTGAACCACATGCAACATGTAACCTGCAAAGCTGCTGTGTAGGCAGCTGGTCACTAACTTCTGTTTGTAGTCTTGATAATTCATGCCTAAGTCAAGAATCTTGCAATTGGCCCATGGATTGAAGCTTTGTTTATTTTTCAGACTACTTCTGACTAATTATTTTCACATTGAAACCTTAAAGCTCACAGAAGGGTCCATTTTCATAAACTGATCACTTATTTTTCATAAACTGTCACTTTGAAGACCTGAGCTGAACAATGCAAGAAATTCCCTTCTCTCACAGCAGCAGATCCTTTTCCTTCTCCATCTCTTTCCGTCTGTTTTCTTCCTTCCTTGTGGGATATTGTGAGTGATTCCTAAATCTTAATTTAATCACTGTAATCTAGAACAGAATTGCAATCTTCACAAGCTGAAAATGGCCACAGCCTTGAACTTTATTGTTTCTTTTATTGAGAGGATAATTCCTTAGGCCAGTTAAATGATTAATGAATGTGAACTAACTGAATGTCAGAGAGAAGGAAAGGCCAAGTATTAAGACCGCCCTTATATGTCACAGGATTATTTTGATGCTTTGTGCAGATCCCCCTTTAATATCTTTTTATTGGGATTACCTTTAGCACTCCAATTACAGCTGGTGGGTAGCTCAAGCCGACCATATTTGAAGTACGCCTGTACATTCTACCAAGATGAAATAGATAAAGCAACACATTAATAGAATTAAGTCAAACAAAACATACAATCAACAAAACTCATAAAGCAAAAAAATTACAGGAGACCTGATTCAGCCTGGAAAACCCTAACTGGAATATGGACCTTTTTTTCCTTCCATTTTGTTCCTAACTTGCCCAATATTCTCAATTTTGTTTTTATTGTATAGTTTAATTTGAGCTTGTACGTTGCCCAATATCTCATAGCTTGGTTACTGAGCTGAGCATGACAAAGAATTTGCCAGTACCAGGTCTTCGTCAGATGGAAAGGCTACACTCGACCAAACAAAATGTTCCCCATTTTCCACCATACATACCTGTACTGACCTTTCAGTTCCCTTAGTCCTTACTGGCCCACATGCAAGCTAATTCTGAGTGTACTTCAGAAACCATTTGTATGCAATGAATCAACTCCAGTGTGATACAGCTGTTACTTTTGTCTGTATGTTTTCAAGATTAGTATAAAACCTTTTGGGTGTTTGCCATGTGTATGTGTGTGTTTCAGGGAATGAGAGAAAAAGAGCAAGGCAATAATCAACATCTGTAACTAAGATAAACAAAATATGTAATGTACCAGAATTTAAACTTGATTATAAAGTATATTTTAAACATATCATTGAGTATGTACAAGTTTTCAGTTGTTTTCAGGACACACTGTGCTTAATAGGATTTGGTGAATGCAGAAAATATGTCATAGCTAGAATGTCTTTCCACAGGCCACCCTTTTTTGCCCTAAAGCACTGTAGGACTAAAGGAAGATGATACAAAGCTCTCTTCTCCCACCTGAAATGATCCTGTGCAAAGTTTTCCTTCACTGCCATTTTTCTTTGTCATCTTCTGCACTCAGAACTGAAAAAAGTCATTCCCCTTTGGAGACTTATATTCACCCATTCTGAAATCATAGAATTTCTTGTCCCTTTCTTTCTCTAGTCAGAAGCTCCATAGCATTCTTTTAAGAGAAAATTAAGAAGTAGAACCCCTTTCCCTTAGCTCAGGAAACTCACAACCCTCCTCCCATGCCATATTATATTTGAATACTTCCTTCTTTGTGTCACAGTGTTCCAGGTCAGCTGGAAAACAGCTTTCTGAGCCAGCTTTCTGCATTTACTTACATGTTGAGAGTAAGGGTTAATTCACAAATAGCCAGTCAAACCTTGGAGAAATCTGCCCCAAGGAGAAATTAGAGGTTTAGTCTTATTACAATTTTCTGCCACTCTTAACACATGTACAGTAACTTTGGTGCACAGATAAAAATATTGGTTATAGTCATGACAAAGGAGGCTTCTGTGTGTCTGTGTGGACTGTGATCCACTGTCTGATATGTATAACCTCCTGCACAGAGGACTATTAGGCCGTCACTGCAATTGTGTTGAACAGTGAAAGGTGCTTTGCTCTTCCATTCATGACTTGAATTTTGCTGTTGCAAAACTACTCCCAGAGATCTGAGAGCTGCTGTCTCTCAGGCTGTCCAAAAAATGCTGACAGTTTCACATGTGCCAGCCCTATTTCTGGCTTGAACAAAGAAGGTCAGTGAAGAGTGGTTACTTGACAAGAAAATATAAGATTAGAAGTGAGTCCAAATTGAAATTAATAAATGTTTTAAAGGGTTAAAAAAGTAAAATCAGTTTTAGCAACAGGCTGTGATATAAATCACAAGAGGGAAGGCTGAGAGGACTCAATGGCTTTTTTGAAATCCTCCCTGAGCTCCAAAATTTTCACATCCATTTTGATCAATAGTTCATTCCAGTAATAATATGCTAAAGGATTTTGTCCTGTATCTTAGCACTTCTTCATAAGAAATACCAGACCACAGAGGTAAATGGAAGCAAGGCAGAGTTTGATCTGTCCAAATTTTAAGTGCTGTCACTTCTGACCTAGGACTATGTATATTGTCCATCAAAATTATACCAGGTGTGCTATTACATCTGTACTACAGTAAGAACAGGGGAATAGGTATTGTTTCAGTTTACAATCTTTTACTAAATCCCAGGTTTTTAGGGGTTACCCAAATCTATGTAGAAACATTAACAGAAGCACATTAAAGTGCTCTTCATTCAGTAGTCTTCTACTGACCCTGAGTCTGACCCCCATTGCTCTGAGGTCTTCTGGCCTAAGGTACTCTCCTCCACCTCCTGTCATTGTGCCATCACATACTACAGGTGAAATCTGCAGTACCTGGGTAGTTACTAGAACAAATTAATTACATGACACTTTACCTTTCCACAAATATCCCAGCTTGCACTGCATGGACAATACTCCTGAACCGGGGTTTTTCCTCAGTCCTTTTGAGCATCATCCCCATTTGCCGTGTGAAGGTGGAAGCCAACCAGTCGCGGACCTCTGAGGGCACAGAGTCAGACTGGATATCACTGAGTTCATCTTCTGTGTCCAGTAAACGTCTAGAAGGATGAGGAAACAGAAGGGTAAACAGATTTCCTTAGAGAGCACTACAACATTATTAACAAAAAAAGAAACTCAGATATATTCTAATTAAAGCAGCCTGTTAAAAGTCTTTGATTCATTAGCCCTAACAAAACACAACAGTACAAGTTTTCAACTGTTTGTTTATTCTCTTATGTACTTATATTTCAGATTGTGAAACTCACTACTAGACTGAGAAACAAGAATTATCAGTCCTCTGAAACACAACTGTATGATCATCTATTGACTTTGCATCTTCAGCTCATCAATATTTCTGAACTTTCTGCCTTTCAAAGGTAATTTAGGGTCATTTCTAGGAATGAATTTCTAGCTTCTGAATTAGTGACTTACAGTTCTCTCCTCTTCAGTTCTTGTCATCTGTGTTGACTCTACAAGTGCATTTATCAATGGGTAAATGGCATGTAACCAACAAGATGAACTCTTCTGCAATGTCTTACCAGTCTACCTCTGTCATGGGTAATTTTTTCTTTAATTTCAAAGACATAATACAAGTGAAAAATTTAACATTATTTATTATAAATAATTGAGTAGAAATTTAGAAACTGTCAGAAAAAGTAGGACACAATTACTATGAAAACATTTCTCTGAGAAAAAATATATTACTTTTATGATTGGTTTTGATCTCCTTCCCTGTCCCAGGAAACTTAAAGAAGCATTTAAATGAAGGATTGAAGATCTGTTCTACACAGAATACAATATTCTAATGATTAAAACAATATTATCTATGAGTAATAAATCTTGACTCAACCAACTTTCACAATTGACATGTAAATTACAACTGGTGCTAGATATAAGAGTGTTGATGTCAATAGTTAGCTCACCTGGTTTCACAAATGTATACTGACTCAAGAACAGTCGCCGCATATTCCAAATTCTTCTTTAGATCTACAACTGAAGCTTCCCCTCTCTCTAACTGATTTACCAAAGACCGCAATCTAAAGAAAAAGAAAGCAAAAATATGGTTAGTATAAAGCAAAATAGGTTGAGAGTGAGTGTCAGTTCCCAGTATGAGACCTAGCATACACATTGACAGGTGAAAACTTTTGGAAGTCTACAAGTTTTTTGAAGCAACATACATAAAATCAACAAAAATTAATTTTCAAAGATCAGTTATAATGATAATATGTGACTCCATGAGTTATTACAGAATCATACAATCACAGAATATGATAGATACCTTATAGATAGAATAGATACACTATAGATAGAATATGCTGAGTTGGAAGGGACCCATCAGTATCACTGAGTCCAACCTCTGACCCTACACAGGACACCCCAAGAATCACATCATATGCCTGAGAGCATTGCGCAAAGGCTTCTGAACTCAGACTCCTTGAGTCTTGTCACTAGTCATGAGAGTGAAGAGATCAATATCTGCTGCTCCACTTCCCCTCATGAGATTGTTGAAGGTTGCAACAAGGTCTCCTCTTAGTCTACTCTTCTCCAGTCTGAACAGATCACGTGGTCTCAATCATTCTTTATAAGGCTTCTCTTCCAGAAGTTTCACCATATTTGTGGCCCTCTTATGGACACTTTCTAATAGTTTAATATCTTTCTTATACTGTGGTGCATAAAACTGCACACAGTACTCAAGGTGAGGCCATAACAGTGCAGAGCAGGGCAGGACAATCACTTCCATTAATCAGCTCTCCCTACTCAAAACTGAAATAAGTGAAAATAGAAATCACTTGAAATTTAACAGAGGAGCTAAGAGAGGACAATTTCAATCCAGTCATAAGGAATCTCTTGAATAGTATCTGTTAACAAATGACTGTTATTCCTAATGATTGATGTAAACATGCAAAACTGTACTAGAGAATACTTAGAAACATGTCTTAGTTTAGGGCAAATTAGGAAGGAAAACTCCAAATGGGGATTTCCCCAGGGAAATGCCCCTCCCCACCAACTGGTCCGGGAAAAGAAAAAAAATTCCTTAGAGAGAAGTGGAAAAAGCTGTTTATTTAACAGAAATTGAGTAATATTAAATAATAAAACCTCTTGCTGTTCGATGGGATGGCAAATCTAGGAGGAAAAAAAGTCCTTTTCATGTGGTGTAGCTCGGCTCGCTCAGGTTCTTATCAGTCCCTCCGGCGCTGGAAAGTGCCGAGGCCCAGGCCCCGGTGGGCCACAGGCGTGAGCTCCCGGGGTTTGGCTGGGTGTTCAGTCCAGAGCAGGCTTGCACAGATCCAAGAAAATTGGGAAAAAAA